TGAGTAAGCCACTGTGAGCGAGTCGCACTGTCAGCTGTCGCGGGAGGGGCGGGAGCGGCGCCAGACGTATGGTCAAACAACGAAACGCTGTCCCTAGAGTCGCTTAGTAGGTACAGCTGCAGGTCGTCGAGCCACGTGTCAAACTGGATCAGTCGACCCTCATGATCGAACGCGAGAATGCGGAGGGAAGCCATAGCGGCGCAGCACGCAGGGTGGGCAAAGGCTGGGCAGTGCAGGCTGCAAGAGGGGCAGCTCGAGGGCCTAGGGGCGGCGGGCGGGTCGCAAGGGGCGGCACGCGGGGCTGCAGGGGCTGCGAGAGGGCTGCAGGGGGCGGCTAGCAGGGCAGCAGTGGCAGCTAGGGGGCCACCAGGGGCGGCGCGCAGGGCTGCAAGGGCGGCTCGCGGGCTGCAGGGGCAAGGGGCAGGCCGCAAGTGGCGGCGGGGGGGGGGGGGGGGGGGGGTGGGGGGGGTTGGGGGGGGTCCTGGGGTCGACGGTAGGGCCGAGGCCTAGGGGCAACGGGCAGGCTGGGCTGGGGTCGACGGGCGGGCCGGGCCTAGGGTCGACGGGCGGGCGCGCGGGGCAGCAGTGTTGAAGAGGGGGGGGGGGGGGGGGGGGGCTAGGGTCGACGGGGCGGGAAGGGGCCTAGGGTCGACGGGAGGGGCCGGGGCCTAGGGTCGACGGGGCGCGCCGGGGCCTAGGGTCAACGGGGCGGGCCGGGGCCTAGGGTTGACGGGGCGCGCGGGGCCTAGGGTCGACGAGGCGGGCCGGGGCCTAGGGTCTATGGAGGGGCCGGGGCCTAGGGTCGACGGGGCGCGCCGGGGCCTAGGGTCGACGGGGCGGGCCGGGGCCTAGGGTTGACGGAAGGGGCCGGGACCTAGGGTTGACAGAAGGGGCCGGGGCCTAGGGTCAACGGGGCGCGTTGGGGCCTAGGGTCGACGGGGCGGGCCGGGGCCTAGGGTCGACGGGGCGCGCGGGGCCTAGGGTCGACGGGGCGCGCGGGGCCTAGGGTCGACGGGGCGGGCCGCAAGGGGCAGGCTCGAGGGGCCTAGGGTCGACATGTAGGCCGCACGAGGGCGGCACGCGGGGCAGCAGGTGTGGCACAAGGGTCGCTAGGGCCCAGGAGGGCGGCTAGTGGGGCAGCGCTGTGGTGGGCCCAAAAAAATAAATCAATCCTAACGAAGGACCTGCTCTGAAACCATGTCAAACTAACGAACGAGAATGGATGCATTGAACAGAAAGTTGGGTACAGGTACTAACCCTAATTGGGTTGTACCCCTTATGGGCTACCCCACTATAGCCTACACAAATGTAAGCACTATAACATTCTGACACTTACTTGTAGGCTATAGTGGGGCACCCTTATGGGGTACAGCACTTCTAGGGTTGCACACGCGCATTGCTAATCCAATCATTCCTGCACATTTGATTCTGACAGAACGCACACGCGCACGCATACATACGCACACACACGCACGCACACGAACGCACACGCACTCACACGCATGCACACGCACTCATAGCACTCACTCACACGCACGCACACGTACGCATGCGCACTCATGCACACTCACAAGCACTCACACGCATGCACATGCGCGCACACACTTGCACACGTGCGCACACGCTCGCACAGGCACGCAACACGCACACACACATGCACGCACACGCATGCACGCATATGCACGCACCCTCACACATACACACGCACACACACAAACACACACACACACAAACACACACACATACACATATGCACAAGCACACACACACATACACACACGCATACGCACACACACACACACGCACACACAAAGCTTGCTTGATGTTTGCAGGTAGGCATCCCTGTTCATTGGTTCTCTACTCTCCTATTCCATTCCCATGTCTTGCATATGTGTCCCTATTGTCACTTCTCTTCCCCTCCCCTTCCCTCGCTCACACGCCACTCTGCGCATCTCCTCTAGGTATCCATTTCAAAGTGGCTGGTCCATCCCTGCTCTTCATCGTTTGCCCCCAATCGCCAAATTTTAGAATAGACACCAAGACAGGCCAAAGTAGCAGTGAGATGAGATAACCAAAAGTAGAATCCAGATGGGAATTTTCCCTTGGGGAGATTCAATGATGATATGCCACTGCACTGCACATTACCGTACCAGCCACAAAGTGAATTACTACCAGGGACATCCAATCACCTCCAAATTTCATAACAATGAAGTCACGCAAGGCACTGGATCCTCAATAGAATGAGTGCACTGCGAGCTAGAATCACTGCCACGTGTGCCTAGACTGACCGTGAGCCTAGTCCTATGGTGCGCCGGGAGCAGGCACGTCACACGAATAGGATTGTACCAAGCATCAGAGTGATGACAGTTGTGAGAACAGTGACCGGTGTAGCAAGCAAACCTGCCATGCGAGGGTGGCAACAAGACAATAAGAATGAGGGCAGAACTAACAACCCGCTCCTAGGAAACAAGGGTACAATGAAAAGAGGGAATCAAATTGAGGTGTGGAAATGTGAAGGGGGGTTACATGGTGAGGTACCACGAAGATTACTAAGGAGAGGCAACGGAAAGCGGACGAACGAATGGCACAGCAGTCATCACCAAAATGTCACTGACCCACAGGTCTCCCCAAGGAATTTCTAGGGTTAGATTTGGGTCGTCTGATAATCTGACCTTAGAATTGCTTTCGGGTCTGTCTATTTGGGGGTTTCCAAAAACACTTGGTGGTCAGATGCAGGTCAGGTACGGGTCAGGTACAGGTCAAGTACGGGTCGGAATTTTGGGCTGCAGGTCATGTGCGGGCCGGTTTAGACTGTCCCAAAAGTGACTTCCGGGATAGATTCGGATCAGTTCCGGGTCACACGTGGCCAGCGCATGGTCAGTCGATATCCCCTTTACTGCATTTTCTGATATACGCCACATTGCTTAAACATGAATTGTTCCATAAAAGTAACAACTTACCTGCAGCCTTGGGTGGGGGAGGAGGAGCCGGAGCAGACGGAGCAGCAGAAGGAGCACTGTTGCTGGCGAAAGTAACGGTGCCATCAGGGTTGATCGTCAGCGGTGCGCCAAGATAGATCGATGCACCAGTGGGGCCAACAATGGTGCCATCATTGTTCCACCCAGTCAGGTCCCCTGCAGTGTACGACCCGTCCTCATTAACAGTCGGCACAACCGGCTTTCCTGAGGCGTCCACAATCTTTCCGCTCTTCAGGAACGTCATCTTTCCCATAGTGAACCCCGTAGTCGGCCCATTGATGGCGATGAAAATGCCGGGACCGATGAGCGTGCCATTGGCGTAGGCGGCGTACGCTTTATCGATAGCGACGGATCCGTCGGGCCTATCGACGACTTTGAGAGGCGCGCCATGGGAGTCGACGGCAGAGGTGATTCCCGTGGGACCCCACGTGACCGAGTATGCATTGCCGAATAAAATGCTGTTGGTCACCGGGACGAAGGAGTATTTGTTGCTGGCGAGAATTGTGCGGGCAGGAGTATACTCTATAGCAGCAACAGCCGACAAGAAGAAGACAGCAAGGACCAGCATTGCGAGCAGCGGAGGCGTCTGGCGAGCCATGGTGGCTGGAAGAGCCTCCCTATAAGGACGCCGAGGAAGAGTAGCCTACTAGGGAGAAATGCTGCACAGGCGCTGGCTGTAGGGGGGACGCCGATGAAGAGTAGCTTACTAGAGAGAAAATCTGCACAGGCGATGCTCTTCACCGCCACTGGAGTTGCTCGTAATAACCAGTCCCTCTTCTCATGATCAAAACAGCTGAGTCAGTTGGCACGAGGGACTGACAGCATGATGACATCGCGAAAAAAAAAAACACAAAAATTGGCGGAAGGTGGAAGAACATGCCAGCAAATGGCGAGGCGGTGGAACAAGCTCAACGGCTCTTGGGCCCCGTCGCTCACGGCCCCTCGGCCCCGTCGCTCACGGCCCCTAGGCCCCGGCCTGTCGCTGCCCCTAGCTCGGCCCCTTGGCCCCGTTGGCCCCGTCGCCCCTAGCCGCGCCACTCGGCCCCGTTGGCCCCGTCGCCCCTAGCCGCGCCCCTCGGCCCCATTGGCCCCGTCGACCCCGTCGCCCCTAGCCGCGCCTCTCGGCCCCGTTGGCCCCGTCGCCCTTAGCCGTGCCCCTCGGCCCCATTGGCCCCGTCGACCCCGTCGCCCCTAGCCGTGCCACTCGGCCCCGTTGGCCGTTGGCCCCGTCGACCCCGTCGCCCCTAGCCGCGCCTCTCGGCCCCGTTGGCCCCGTCGCTCGTAGCCGCGCCCCTCGGCCTCGTTGGCCCCGTCGACCCCGTCACCCCTAGCCGCGCACCTCGGCCCCGTTGGCCCCGTCGCCCCTAGTCGCGCACCTTGGCCCCGTCGCCCCAGCCGCCCCTAACCGCGGCCCCGTCACCTCTAGCCTCGGCCCCTAACGACCTGTCGCCCCTAGCCGCGGCCCCGGTGCCCCGTCGCATCATGGAGGGTAAGCGGGTAGCAAGAGGGGTGACGGCTTCCTGCCCGCGTGCCCTGCAGTTGCACGCGCAGCTCCGCCGCCGCCCCCCTCCCCCCCCCCCCCCCCCCCCTCCATGGGGACGGGGGGGAGAGGGTGTGAGGGGGTGGCGGATGTGCCTCAGCAGCAGCAGCTGCCGCCACGCCTCCTCCTCTCTCTCTCCCTGCCGCACCTTGTGTTGGGAGGGGGGGGGAGCTTGGAGGTTCAGGGGGAGGCAGGAGGGGATCTGCAGCACCAGCCCCCCCCGCCCCCCCTTTCTCCTCCACCCCTGGGGGGTGAAGGATTGTGGAGCAGCAGTGGGGGGGAGGGGATCTGCAGCACCAGCCCCCCCCCGCCCCCTCCCCCCCCCTTCTCCTCCATCCCCCTGCTGTGGGTGCAGCAGTGGGGGGAGGGGATCTGCAGCACCATCTCCTTCCGTCCCCCCCCCCTTTTCTCCTTCATCCCCCTGCTGCAGGTGCAGCAGTGGGGGGTGGGGGGGGGGTATGGGGGTGGCGGGATCTTGGAGGCTACAGGGGTGGCAGGAAGGGATCTGCAGCACCAGCCCCCCCCGCCCCCCCCCCCCCCCCCCCCCTTCTCCTCCATCCCTCTGCTGCGGGTGCAGCAGTGGGCGGGAGGGGATCGGCAGCACCAGCCCCCCCCCCCCCCCCCCCCTCCCATTCTCCTCCATCCCCCTGCTGCGGGTGCAGCAGTGGGGGGAGGGGATCTGCAGCACCATCTCCCTCCGCCCCCCCCCTTTCTCCTTCATCCCCCTGCTGCAGGTGCAGCAGTGGGGGTGGGGGGGGGGGGGGGGGGTATGGGGGTGGCGGGATCTTGGAGGCTACAGGGGTGGCAGGAAGGGATCTGCAGCACCAGCCCCCCCCCAGCCCTCCCCATTTCTCCTCCATCCCCCTGCTGCGGGTGCAGCGGTGGGGGGGAGGGGATCTGCAGTCCTGTGCGCCCTGCTGCCCTGCAGCCATGCACGCCCCGCGCGCCCTGCTGCCCTGCAGCCCTGTGCGCCCTGCTGCCCTGCAGCCCTGCGCACCCTGCTGCCCTGCAGCCCTGTGCGCCCTGCTGCCCTGCAGCCCTTTGCGCCCTGCTGCCCTGTGCACCCCGCGCGCCCTGCAGCCCTGCTGCGCCCCGCGCGCCCTGCTGCCCTGTGCGCCCCGCGCGCCCTGCAGCCCTACTGCGCCCCACGCGCCCTGCTGTCCTGCTGCCCTGCGCGCCCTGCGCGCCCTGCAGCCCTGTACGCCCTGCTGCCCTGCAGCCCTGCGCGCCCCGCTGCCCTGCAGCCCTGCGCGCCCTGCTGCCCTGCAGCCCTGTGCGCCCTGCTGCCCTGCAGCCCTGTGCGCCCTGCTGCCCTGTGCGCCCCGCGCGCCCTGCAGCCCTGCTGCGCCCCGCGCGCCCTGCTGCCCTGCTGCCCTGTGCGCCCCGCGCGCCCTGCAGCCTTACTGCGCCCCACGCGCCCTGCTGTCCTGCTGCCCTGCGCGCCCTGCAGCCCTGTACGCCCTGCTGCCCTGCAGCCCTGCGCGCCCCGCGCGCCCTGCTGCCCTGCAGCCCTGTGCGCCCTGCTGCCCTGTGCGCCCCGCGCGCCCTGCAGCCCTGCTGCGCCCTGCGCGCCCTGCTGCCCTGCTGCCCTGTGCGGCCCGCGCGCCCTGCAGCCCTGCGCGCCCCGCGCGCCCTGCTGTCCTGCTGCCCAGCGCGCCCTGCAGCCCTGCGCGCCCCGCGCGCCCTGCTGCCCTGCAGCCCTGTGCGCCCTGCTGCCCTGCAGCCCTGTGCGCCTCTGCTGCCCTGCTGCCCTGTGCACCCCACGCGCCCTGCTGTTGCCGCTACAGCCCTTGCTGTTGCCGCTACAGCCCTTGCTGCTGCCGCTACAGCCCTTGCTGTTGCCGCTACAGCCCTTGCTGTTGCCGCTACAGCCCATGCTACTGTCGCTACAGCCCTTGCTGCTGCTGCTACAGTCCTTGCTGCGGCCGCTACAGCCCTTCCTGCTGTCCTGCGCGCCCCGCGCGCCCTGCAGCCCTGCACGCCACGCACGCCCTGCTGTCTTGTGCGCCCCGTGCGCCCTGCTGCCCTCTGCACGCGCATCTGCAGCCCCATGCACAGCCCCTACCCAGCCCCCCCCCTCCCCCCCTTTTCTCCTCCCTCTCCCTTCTGCACGTGCAGCAGTTGGGGTTGGGGGGTGGGGAGGGGAGGGGAGGGTGTGAGAGGGAGGTTGCACCTACAGCGCCAACCTGCCTCCTCTCTCTCACAGCCGCACCTGCTGCTGTGGGGGGGAGTGTGAAGTGGTGGGGAGGCTCAGGGGATGTGGGTGGTGGGTGACAGAGCTGCAGCAACTCCCGCCACGCCTCCTCCTCTCTCTCCTCACTGCTGCTGCTACTGCTGTACGGGGGGAGGTCGGGGGGTGCTGTGAGTCCAGCTGCAGCATCAGCCGCCTCCTCCTTATTTGCCATCTCCTTCTTCTGCTGCGCAGGGTGTACCCCTTCAGGGGGTGTTTCTGCACATGATTCTTCACTGCAGGCAGTTAGGGGGTGTGTCAGAATATAATTGTATGCATTATTCTATAACTGCCTGTAGTGTAGACTTAGTGTAGTGCTAAACTTGTTTGGTGGTGCACCTTGGTTGCTTTGCCTATATCTTGTACTTTCTTCTCTTAGTGAACCATCTTTCCTCTCTCACTTTTTACTCTCGACAATTGCCTAGCTCACACCCTAGCTATGGCTCCCTAGCTTATGAGCTCATCTCAACATTTCTGGCTGAGAATTTCACTCAAAGGGCTTTTCCTTAGAAGCCAGGAAGAACAAACAGAAAGAGAAAACAACAACTTCTACTCTAATTCCTACGAATGCATTTTTATATGTACAGTACATACATTTCAGAAATGCGGCTCGGAATGTCGACTCGGGTGGCCAGCCCCGACATCGAGTCGCATCATCCTTTTCCACATTTGTAACTCACTGCTATCATACACGTCCTTTTCTAACTCTTCGATATTGTTCCCTCGCCACCTGTCCCACGCGGAAGTCTTCCCAAGTCAGTCAAGGCACGAAACCTCAGTTTCGCCCTTCTCACGTGGGTCCCCCACGTCCTGCTCACTTCCGCCCCCTTGCTGCCCACGTTCGCAGCTGCACGCTGCTGCTGCATGCTTTCACCTCCCGTGCGCTTCACGCTGCCTCCAGAGCAGACCCCACTTGCTACATTACCTCCCCTCCCTGAAGGCACCGTCCTCGGTGCCAATGAGGCAAGATAGACTCCAATGGCACGAGGAGCATGGCTGAGGTTGGAGAACGGCTCCCATGTGTCTTCAGATGCAGATGTGTTGCGCCAGTGAATGAGATATTCACAGCCAACCGGGGTGTCATGGTGTGAGAGGATGGTGTCGACCTCATGCAGGTCCGGATGGGCAGAGAACATGGGTGGGCGGGGCTGGAATGGGTGAGAGGGATTTCGGTAAGGACAGAGAAGGTGAACATGGAAAACAGGGTGTATGGTCATGTGAGAAGGGAGTTGAAGTCGGTAGCTGACCGGTGAGAGAACTTTGGTGATGGGAAATGGTCCAACGAATCTGGGAGCGATCTTGCGAGAAGTTCCAACATTCAGCAGAGGCAGGTTAGCAGTTGAAAGCAGCACCAAATCACCAGCTTTGAAAGTGGTGTGACGCCTATGCTGGTTGGCATAGCGAACTTGGCGCTCTTGTGCAAGCTGAAGCTTCCTTCGGGCAAGTTGAAGAATGCGGTGATGAGAAGAGATGAAATCTGCTGCGGTTGGGTTAGGGGAATGAAGAGAGTGAGGAAGGGATGTGACTGAACGTGGCAGCTGTCCAGTAGCTAACAAAAACGGTGGCTCTCCCGTGGCAATGTTGGGGCTGCTGTTGTAGGCAAACTCGACTGCTGCCAAGTGCTGATCCCAGTCAGTTTGCATGGCATTCACACACGAGCGTAGCGCATCCTCCAGGGTTCTGTTCATGCGCTCTGTCTGACCGTCAGTTTCAGGGTGGTAGGCTGTATAGAGTCGAATCTGAGTGCCCAGCAGTTGAAACAGTGCAGTCCAGAAGTTGCTGAGGAACCGTGTGTCTCTGTCACTGATTATGGCTGAGGGCAGTCCGTGTAGCCTCACTACGTGTGTGAAAAACAGCTTGGCAGTTTCAGCAGCAGTCACCGTGCCAGTTGTAGGGATGAAGTGAGCCATCTTGGACAGCTTATCAATCACCACGAGAATGCTATCAAAGCCTGTAGGGGTGCGGGGTAGAACTGTGGTAAAATCCAGAGAATCACAAGTCCAGGGGGCTGTGGGTATCTCCAATGGTTGCAGCAAACCAGCCGGTGCAGTGGTGCGAGCCTTGTTGACCTGACAGGTAGGGCATGAAGCGACGTACTCAGCTACACTCTGGGACAGTCCAGGCCAGTAGTAGTCACGAGAAATGGCAGCATACGTCTTGTCACTGCCAAAGTGTGACCGGTTGTCATGGTACTCGTGTAATAGCAATTGGCGAAGCCTGGAGTCATCAGGTACACAAACAGCACCAGAATCTGCACGGGTCCAAAAAGGGTTGCTGAAAAGGAGGGATGGGTCATGAGAGGCTTTCTGTTGGTACAGCTGATCACGGTTGTAACCACGGCTGAAACGAATGATGAAGTTGCGGTCCCATGTAACCACTCCCATGACATTCAGCTCCTCTGCTGCTGGCCGTGACAGAACATCCGCCGGATTGAAGCGCCCTGGTTTGTACACAATCTGTAGGTTGGGGACTTACTGCTCCAGAAATTGAACCCACCGTGCCTGCCGTGGTGTGATCTGTGACTGTGTTTTCAAGTACTCCAGAGTTCGGTGATCAGTGAAGACCGTGATGGGCTGCATCTCTACATAACAGCGCCACTTCTTCAATGCATGCACCACAGCAAGTGCCTCTCTCTCGTGAATGGGGTATGCTCGCTCTGCAGCAGTCAGCTTCCTTGACTCAAAGGCTATTGGCTGCAGCCCAGCTTCGTGCTCCTGACAGAGAATTGCTCCAAGGGCAATGTCTGATGCATCACACCAAATGAAGTACGGGAGCTCTGGATTCGGTACTGCTAGGGCAGGGGGTGAAGTAAGGCAAGTCTTGAGCTGCTCAAAATCTTGCTGCTGCTCCCCAACTGAATGATGAGTCCTTCCGTAAGAGATCGGTCAGAGGTGCTGCCACTGCTGCAAACCCCTTCACAAACCGCCAGTAGTAGTTAGCTAACCCCAAGAATGCCTGCACCTCCTTCACTGTACTCGGCTGCTTCCACTGCTTCAGCACTGCTACCTTGCTGTTGTCCACCTCCAGCTTCCCATGAGAAATAACATGACCCAGAAATGACAGCTTCGTTTTGGCAAACTCACACTTGGAACGCTTGGCGTACAATCTGTGCTCACTCAGTCGTGCAAGGACCAGCTCAAGGTGTTTCAGGTGTTCCTCACGAGTGCGACTGTAAACCAGCAAGTCATCAATGAAAATCACCAGAAACTTGTCAATGAAATCACTGAAAATGCTCTGCATCATGCCTTGGAAGGTGGCTGGAGCGTTGGTGAGACCAAAGGGCAACACTCGAAACTCATAGTGACCGTACCGTGTTCGGAAAGCTGTTTTGGGGATGTCCTCACTCTGAATCCGCACCTGATGATACCCTGAACGCAAATCCAGCTTTGAGAAGTACCGTGCCTCACCAACTTGCTCGAACAGTTCATCTATCCATGGCAGTGGGTACCGTTTCTTCACTGTTATCTTGTTCAGCCCACGGTAATCTAAACACATCCGCAGAGAACCATCCTTCTTCCGCACGAACAGCACCGGAGAAGCGTATGGAGAGGAACTAGGCTGAATGGATTCCTTGGCTAACAGCTCCTCTAGCTTCTTCTTCAACTCCTTCAGCTCCACTGCACTCATCTTGTAGGTTGGTCGAACAGGTGGGGTAGATCCAGGAATCAGCTCTATCCTATGATCTGCAGCTTGCTTAGGAGGAAGGCCAGCTGGTAAGTCCTTCGGAAACACCCCTGAAAAATTTTCCATCAGATTCTCCACACCCCATGTCAGTTCCTTATCCTCATGTGATGCTGAAACCGTTGGTATTGCTGCTTCAGGCGATGTAGGCTGAACCTCTGTGATGAGACCTAGAAAAACTGCTTCCTCCCCCCGAATGGCCTTACCAAACTGCTTCGCACTAATCAGCTGCAAGGTCATCTCCTCCTGCTGCTGCACCACTGGTAGGCATACAGATCTTCCCCCAAACAGCACCTTCACCTCCCTAGTTCTCCAATCCACCTGAGGGTTCACTGCTGCCAACCAGTTTCTGCCAAGGATGATGTCATGACTGTCAAGCCAAATCTGTTGAAATGAAATCTTCCCATGAAACTCCCCTATGTTACAGCTGACTGGGTACAACTCAGGTCCATAGCTTCTCACCACACCATCCGCCATGCGCACCGTACTCTCCACTGTACCGCTCTGCACAGGTAACTTCAATTCATGAACCAGCCGAGAAGAAATGAAATTGGATGAAGCACCACTATCCAGCAACATCTTTACCTCCTTACCACGAATCTGCCCCTGAAGTACTATTGCTCCCTCCGACTCCTGCTGCAGTGGCGTTGAGGATGGAGTCAGCAAGGTGGGGCACTACTCACCACCAGCAACTCGCCCCGAGGTTACTGGTGAGGCTTGTTTCCCGGCTGCCTAGGCTTGGTAGGGCAGTTGAGTGCTTTGTGACCGCGTTTCCCACACTTGAAGCAATTTCCAGCAAAGCCCTTTCGCTTCTCCTTGTTCTTATCAATCGTATCCAGCTCCATCGGCATAGGTCCTGCACCACCACGCTGCTCCCCATGGATAGGCTGGAACATGTTCGGACTGAACCGCATCCCACGGTTGAAACGGTTACGACGGTTACTGAAGTGAATCTCATCGTAACGTTCAGCGACACGCGCCATCTCCTCAAGCGAACTACAGCCCTGCACCTCTACCTCCATCCTAACGTCGTCTTTCAACCCACGCTTGAACTTGTCCAGCGCCTCAGCCGTTGAAAGGTCTGAAATTTCGGTGGAGATGTCACGAAATTCAGCGATGTAATATGCTACAGAAGTACGCTGCCGCAGATTTGCAAGACGATCACGCGCCCTTGCCATTGCGTTGATAGGTTCGTATGACGCAACGAGAGCTTCCTTGAATTGCTGCCAGGTTTGGATAGCAGGTCGCACCGATTGCCACCATGCAACCGCAGAGCCTCTGAGTAGGGTCCCAGCGAACGGTGCCCACTCTTCACCAGCCACGTGACTTAAGCGTAGATATTCTTCCACAAGGAAGAGCCATCGTCAAACCACCGGTTGTCCTTTCCCTGGAACAAAGGTGTCCGGCATCGATGCTCTCACATGGGAAAGAGATCCCACTACGCTTCCCGGAGCTGTAGCTACTCCTTGCTGTGCAGTTGCGTTCTGCAGGGCAGCCTGCACTTCCTTAGCTACGAGCTCTCGAACCGCGGCATCACGCTCTGAATTGGCCATGGTGCAAAAATCTCCCGGCAGCAACTCACGAGGAAAAAACAGGCTCGGATACCAAGGGGAACAAGCTCAACGGCTCTTGGGCTTGGTCTAGTGTTTCTGGCTGAGAATTTCACTCAAAGGGCTTTTCCTTAGAAGCCAGGAAGAACAAACAGAAAGAGAAAACAACAACTTCTACTCTAATTCCTACGAATACATTTTATATGTACAGTACATACATTTCAGAAATGAGGCTCGGAATGTCGACTCGGGTGGCCAGCCCCGACATCGAGTCGCATCATCCTTTTCCACATTTGTAACTCACTGCTATCATACACGTCCTTTTCTAACTCTTCGATATTGTTCCCTCGCCACCTGTCCCACGCGGAAGTCTTCCCAAGTCAGTCAAGGCACGAAGCCTCAGTTTCGCCCTTCTCACGTGGGTCCCCCACGTCCTGCTCACTTCCGCCCCCTTGCTGCCCACGTTCGCAGCTGCACGCTGCTGCTGCATGCTTTCACCTCCCGTGCGCTTCACGCTGCCTCCAGAGCAGACCCCACTTGTTACAGGCGGGAGCGGCGGGCAGATAGACTCAACATCGCAAAAATGCGGAACCCAATTCGGGACTGATGGACATCGAAACATCAAGTCTGCTACAACGCTGCAACACAACTTGGCGACAAAAAAAAATGCCAAGGCACCAAGGCAGCAGTGGTAACATGCAACAACCGTTAGCCTGAATAGTAACAACCACATTTATTAAAAGACTTGCTATAGTGATAGAACACACTTGCTTCCTATTTGTTCAAAGAAGGTTCATGTCAACACCACAGCTTGTATCAGTTGTTTTGGAATAATTGATTAAAAGTGACTAGAACAAATTGGATTCAGCTTTAGAGTTCTTCTATTCGTATTTAGAAACTAAGAA